CCCCAAAACCCCAAAACCCCAAAACCCCAAAACCCCTGTTAAGTTAATTACGCATATTATAAAAAATTAAATGAATACCCTTTGGTATATATCGGGATTTTCACATTTTATCAAAATTTAAGCTATTTTAAACTACCGGTTGAATTTGGAAATCTCTCTATGCTGTGACTTCTATGAATGAACAATCTACAAAGTTCTGATACTAACTAGGGTACAAGATTAATGAATAACTTTAACTTTCGTGACACTCAAGCTCAAACTGTTATTTAATTCTTGTTGAAACCTATAAACCTGAGAAGAAGAAGTTTCTAGAAAGTGGGTGAATATGATTAATTATTGTATATAGCTTTACATATCTCTGTTTATGAGATAGTTAGCAAATCCTTTCAGATGGCCTTTAGTTATCTCTCTGTGCATCACTTCTTCCATGTCTTTATAGTAGCTATATAAGGGGGTTAAGTTTAAACTCAGTTTTTAAATTAGAAAAATAGCTGTTATTGAAGAAATAATGCTTACCTTTCTATCAGATTGAAAGAGACGCTTTTAGCATATTCAATACTTTTAGTTGACTGGATCATTTGAATAGCTTCACGAATAATATCATCGTTATCTGTTTTCATGTTAAGAATATCTATGAGCCTCTTTCCATCACTTTTTGGGAGATTTTCGACAGAATGGATTACCATGAGAGTTCTTTTTCCTTCATGAATGTCTTCCCCAAAAATACCTCTAGATTTAGCATAAACATCACTTTCAAGGGAAATAATATCATCTTGGATCTGGAATGCAATTCCGAGATCGTTAATCATGTTTCTCAGTTTCTTGATCCTTGTAGGATTATCTTTGTTGAGGAGTCCTACCATTGTTGTGATCAGCCTTGGAATGACACTCGTCTTGCTAGCACACATTTGGAAGTATTCTGACTGAGTAGGTAGTTTATAGTTATTGTGCCAGCAAATATCCCAGTTCTGACCAAAATGGAGACAGCTTATCTCTTTTGTTAGTTCAGAAATCATCTTCATCTTTAACTCAACTGGGACATAGTTAAAGTTCTCAACGAAGTCAGTCAGAACAGTAGTCATCACAAAATTTCCCATGTTAATTGCAATGTCTTGACCATATTTTAAATAAGCGCAAGGAGCTCCTCTTCTCATCAAGCTCTGGTCTTCAATATCGTCAATAATGATGCTAGCATTATGTAAGATTTCTGCTCCGGCAAGGACATGGTACAAGGGGTCACTCTTTGGTCCATCTAGGTCCATTCCATAATCATTTGCAATGACCATGCCATAAACTGGCCTCCATCTTTTGCCTCCAAGGTCAAGTAATTCATAAAGGGGATCAATAAGAGCCTTGTTAGCGCTCTCTAGGTCAGTCTCATAAGATCCTTCGTAAAGAGTGCAGCCCATCTTCTCTAGTTGCTCATGAGACTCTATCTTTCTTGGGATGATCTTCTCGATAAAGTTCTTTTGATTAAACAGCTGTTGGTAGTCTTTGAAGAACGAAATCAGACTTCTTTTGTGTAGATTAGTTCCACCTAGCTTCTTGTTAGTAGCCTTTGAAATCTTTTGTTGGTTTCTATAGCGAGGTTAGACTCTGGTTTAGTTATGCTCAGATTTGTCTTTGGTCACACTGAACAGGATAGCTTAAAGATAGTTAGTATACCAAACCGTCAACACAGAAAAGAAACATGATTTCCCCCATCTATCAAAAACTCGAAAACTTTAGTACAAACAATCTCCAAACTTACACCCTCAAGTCTCTCTGATAACTGACCATCTCTGTCGGTCCTATCGCACTCATTCCTTGTATCCAACGCTTCGGAGTAGTACTAAATCCTCTCCCAAAACTTCCACTTGTCAAAAACCTAGCTTTCCTCATTTTCGGATGAATAATTATTAATATCAACTCATTTGTTCTTTTGAGGGGTTTTGGGGTTTTGGGGTTTTGGGGTTTTGGGG